GTCGTGTCACTTTCAAGGCTGGCGCTAGACTTTTTGCTGCCACTATAAAATATAAATAATACGAGTACTGTCTGCTAAATTGAAGAAAATTTATGTATTTATGAAATAAATACATAAATTACTTACCTAAATTATCTGAATAGCTGATTTGTAATGACATCATTTGTTTAACTAGCTTACTAGCACGCAGTACAATGTGTATCGTCTGAGAAACAGTTACAAAATGTTTTCGTCGTTGCCAATCCCAAAAAATGCCATTGTTCATTAAGTCCAAACAATGGTGGTTGAATTCTAACAACTAATCAACAACGTGAACTTTGATAAGTAGTTCTCAATAATCAGTTCTCAACAATTATTTGTTATTATTAAAGTTTAACATTATAAAATTAACAAAAATAATATAAAACTCATATCCTGGCTAAATAGCCACATGGCTGCCGAAAACTGTATATTCCCTTCCCGTTCTCCCACCGTTCCCTAGCTTGTCATGCATTCTTTCCAAAAATCGGGACTTTTTTAAAATGCCGAGTGACGTGGGATAAATTGTTAAAAATCGGGACTGTCCCGCCAAAAGCGGAACATCTGGTCACCTTACTTTACATAGAACCTCTTTTTCTGTCCACAATCCTGATACAGTACTTACCTAGTTCCCTGAAGCATTTTTCCTCCAAAATGAAGTTGATTCAGCAAAAATCACAAACTTTATTATACCAGTCCATATTCCTTACTTTCCACTCCTCCTTCCTCTTCTTCCTACTTATCTTTCCTTTCTCCCTCCCCTCCATATTTTTTACCTTTTATAGCTACAGTCAAACCTCGGTTTTCTAAGGTCTCCCATCTCAAACAATTAGCTTCTCAACCAGGTAACTCTTCCGTGCTGATACCTGTATGATCAGTCACTCATCTCTCAGGCAGCAAACAAAGGAGAGAATGCTGGAGTATGAGGCCGTTTACTGCTTATAACGTCTCAGGAACTTGTGCTGTGAATATTTTTGTGGTTTTTTTTTTTTGATCCTTAAATTAAATTTTAATTTTTCACTGTACATTTCCTTTTTGTAAATTTCATGTCCTTTTTGTTTTTAAAGTGCTTATGGATTAAACAATACATTAGACATGTGCTGTATATAAGCAAGGTTAAAACAGGGAATTGTTTGGGGGTCTGGAATGGATTAATTCAATTTACATTATTCCTAAAGGGGAAAAATGCTTCTGTTTTCAAAGAACCTTCTCGACCAAATTAAGTTTAAGAACTGAGGTTCCACTGTACCTAGATAAATTTTATCATATAGCGGGAGGACCAAACTTTCCTTAACCTTCAAGGTTCTCCTGGCTGATCTAATTATCGAATAGATATTAGACAGATCAGCAATAGAAAACAACTACATTTAATACATACGTATGTATGGGGACTCACATACGTGAGAGTCAGAGACCCCACATGCAGGTGAAGTCCAGGGATAGGAAGAGAGATCGAGGCATAGAAGACAACTTGTTCTGGACCCCCATCAGGAGGATGTCCAGGAAGGACAAATTATCCTCTTCCCTTGAAGGTTTTCTGGATGGCCTAGTAATTAAATCAACATGAGAAAGATTAGCAGGAGAAAAACAAATTAGCAGAGAAAAACCTTAATGACATGAATGGGAGAGACCCAGGAACACCAAGTAACTCACCAGAATGGCAGAAGCCATCACCTTACATAGCACCTTCAGCTACAGACAAACTTTGCTACTTTATTTTTTTTTTTAAGTTCTCTTAACAGTAAAAGAAGACACATAATAATCACTGTAATAAAATGATTTCAACAATGATACATCCTGACGGTTGAAGAGCCCAGACCATAATTTCCCTGGGCGGCTGCCTTGGCGGCAGCTTCCCTTACATAAATGCAGGGCTCCGGACAGAGATCGCCATCACAAAGCAGGAACAGTTTCCTTTCAATTGGTAACTTTAAAAACATCTGTATTTCTGCTACAGAAAATTCTGCCAGTGGAGTGTATCAAACCCAAAGATACATTTTTTTTTTTCTAATTGACTTAAATAATTATAGCCCTTACGATGGTATTGTAATTAGTTTTTTTGGCCACAAATATAATTAACGACTAAACAATAATTTGTGATGTTTGTGAAAACTAATTCTCAGACATTCAAGTAGTTCCATATTTATGGAGGACTTAGAGTAGAAATAATTCTTTTTATTGAGGCATACCTGACATAACATTGCATTACCTTTAGGTGTACAACATAATAATTTGGTATCTGTATATACTGGAAAATTACCACCACAATAAGTCTAGTTAACATCTGTCCCAATACATAAAACAAAGAATTTTGCTTTTTGTGATAAGGGCTATGTTAGAAATTACTGATACCATATTAAGTTCGATATTTCAGAAGTTTTGTATGCCACATATAGCTTTCAATCTCAGGTTACTTTATTGATTAGTAATCTATCTCACAAGTAGGTTTTCTAAACAATATTTCGTATTTTCCTAAATGTGGAATTAATTTTAATGACATTATTTTTGTAGTAATTTGCTACCTGAAAAAAGATTATTTTATTTAGAAAATTTGCCTAAACCAAATATGGATTTGGAAAGCAGTAAAGTACAGATTTTGGTGACTACTTGGAGGGGTGGAATGGAAGAAATAGGAATTCACAGACTCCAGTTTAAGAAACAGCATGGTTACTGACACCATTTACTAAGATTAAGGAGGTGTGAGAGCAAATAGGTTTGTGTGTGTGTGTTTTGGAGGAAGAAGGTAATGAATGCAGTGTTAGTTATATAGATTAACATGCATGATCTTGACATTCCGAAGGCTTTGCTGCCAATAAACACATCAATGCAGAAAGCAGGCTTTGAAAGCATTAGGGGCAACAGCAAGTGCCAGGTAAAGAGAAAGATGATCCAGTCTTGCTGGTGAAATATAGTACAGAGACTTTTGACCTACTCACAGGAGAACTGTGTTCTAACCTTGGACCTGGCAGCTCCTCTTCATGGAAGACAAATGGGGGACTCAGGGATGAAGCATTTGGTTGTAGTGTTGGTAGACTCTTTTGGTTTAGAAGTCAGCTCAAGTAACCAGGAGCAAAGAGGGGTGAAGGTTAAAGAAAGGAGATAATTCTGAAGATACACGAAGCATCTCTAAGATAAAAAAGCATCTCTAAGTTCACAGGTGTTGGAGCTGAAACCCAGAGGAACCATCCCAACAGCTCTGGGCAGATTCTCTACTTGAGCTTGTCCTTAGCATCTTTGCTTCTCTCACAGCCCAACTCCACCTTATAGCTCCTATTATTGCATCCTTTCAGTTTCTGCTCCTGCAGCTGACTCACAGGTTCCCATGGGTATTTTTCTAGTTTACAAAGGCCTTGAACTAGCTATCTGCCTCAGTTATTACTTTTTTAAAAAAATATATATTTTATTGATTTTTTATAGAAAGGAAGGGAGAGAGATAGAGAGCTAGAAACATCGATGAAAGAGAAACATCGACTAGCTGCCTCTTTCACAACCTCTATTGGGGATGTGCCCACAACCAGTGTACATACCCTTGACCGGAATCGAACCTGGGACCTTTCAGTCCGCAGGCCAACGCTCTACCACTGAGCCAAACTGGTTTCGGCCAGTTATTACTTTTTGATACTAATGTTCAGGGTCATCTGGTAGCCTACTGACAGGGTAGCCTGAATAAAGCGTCCATAGCTGTCACCTGAAGTGGGTCAGAAAAAAGGACAGACACATACATAGTATAAAGTGGTTCTCTACCTGTGGTGTGCTTAGCAGGGACGGTTCCCTCAGAACTGAACAGGGTTATGGTGGCCACAACAATTCTTCAATATGATGTTAGGGTAAGGCCTTTCATACCCAGACTGCCAGACCTTCTGGTGATGTGGAGTCCCCTGTGTGAGCTCTGGGTCCATGAAAGTCTGGGGGAACTTATACCTATGGAATATCTATGGCCATTCATAAAATGAGGAAACAAACAAAACAAATAAAAAGCCTTATTAGCAATGATGTTAAGGCCCTGGTTTCACAGAAATTAAGCCACAGAATTTCTGGAAAAATAAAAAGCCAGGCAAAGTAACAGACTGAGCCCATGTTCCCCTGCATCCTCTCAGAAGCCCAAGGACCTGAAGATAAAGACCACTCATCAGCCTCAATCAAAGCCACTGCTCTGCAAGGGCCTCAGGCAGCCTCTGCATGAAGCGCTCTTCTGAGCCGGCCAGTCTTTCTCCGGCCTTCAGTGGCAACTTCCGTAGAGTCCAGGTACTGATTTTTTGGTTCTGATGTCCCCAGTCCATGTTTTGTATAGATTATGACCAATTTCTGCATCCAGGCACCCACCTCCACATGATCCAACAATACGTGAGTCATCTAGAAGTCTAACTCCACAAGACTTGCCCACATACATTTCCAACATGACATATGATTACTCCCAAATATGTAAAAGAGCATGCGATATTTAAATTTAACCCCAACTAATAAGGAATAAAAAAGAAATCAGAAATTACTATTTATTTAGAGTTCACTGCATATATTAGGTTCTTCATATATTATTTCATTTCATATTTACAACTTACTCTACAAGGTACCATTATCTCCATTTTACATCAAAAGAAACCAAGTCACAGAGCAATTAGGTGGCTTCCTCAAGGTCTCCTGATAGGTGCAGAGGCAAGGTTTTAACTCAGGTTGTCTGACTCCAAAGCCCAGTGTTTCCACTTTACAATGCTGCTCCCCTAGAGTGGGTTTAATGGGTGAGAAGAGTTAATAAATACTGAGTCATTCATCTTTATAAAAGGGAGCTGAAGAACATTTCAGCTTCATTTTCAGGAGTGGCCCAGCAAGGGAGCACTTGATCAAGCGTGACAGACATAATCTAGGGTCTACAAGGGCACCTTGAAGAACATTTATAAATAAAGTCACACACACACACACACACACACACACACTCACACTCACAATGTCAGAAATCATTTAAAAATCAGATCTTGGCTCAAAAGGATAATTAATAGTTAACCTTTATTGTTCATTAAAAATGAACTTTCTAAAATATTAGTAAATTTCGTTTTTAGCTCTGTTTTGAAGTGTTGATACCAGTGAAGTAACATTTTTCTTCTTTGAATTTTTTCCTGTAAAGTCATAGTTTTCTCTTTTTCTAGAATAGCAGGAAGTTCCTTCCAGTTCTTAATAAAGATAAAGGGAGCGCCCATGGACTTGAGTAACTGCAGAGGAGCATTCTGGGAAACAGATGTATTTCCACAGCTGCCAGCTGTCATGACATCTTCCACCACAGGAACGGAGCCATAGGAGCAAGCCTCATATATCCTATAACATTCCGTGTTTACCCCTACTGGGCACAGAGTGAGGTCGCTCTGAAGCAAAGCTTCTTGATAATTCTTAAGGCTTTCATTTGTTTCCTGAGGCTGCCACCTGGAAAATCAGAAAAACAGCGGTAGTTTTCACTTTACTAAGCATATCTTTTGTGGAGGTTGGGGGGAAAGGTTTTACTTAAAAAAAAGTTTTTATTGATTTTAATAGAGAGAGGAAGTGAGAAGGATAGAGAGATAGAAACAACGATGAGAGAAAAACATCAATAGGCTGCCCCCTGCATACCTCTACAGGGGATCGAGCCTGCAACCAGGGCATGTGCCCTGTTCTAGAACAGAACCAGTGACCTCTAGATTCACTGATCCACACCAACTGGGTGATTTGACCTTTTAATGTCAGTTATAGGCAATGGCAAACTATTATAGAGATGACAGGCAAAACAGATAAAGAAAATCTTACCCAATATATTCCTTGAAAATATTTAAGAATTTGAAACGTTTACAGCTACACATTTTTTAAATCCAGTGGTCATCATAAAATTTCTGAATGGATGTTAATCCAGCCAATATTTTCTGCCAAGGTCATCTCTCTCTATCTCACCCTCCTAATTCCTGCCCCTTGGAGCTTATAATCTAGATCTAGTGATAGAGACAGATAGCAACCATGCAAAGTCAGTAAACTACTTAGAAGGTGTTAAATACTGTGAGGAAAAATGAAGCAGAGTGAGGGAGAAATTTCTGAGGGGGCAGTGATGCGATTTTAAATAGGTGATCAGGGGCATGTCTCATTACAGGGACACTTGAGCACGGAGCTGGAAATGAAAGAACAAAACATGCAAATATCTGGGGGAACAGAGTGCAAATAAAGTGTAAAGGCCATGAGATAGCGTGTGTGTGGCATGTCCAATGAACCCAAGGAAGCCTGAAGCAGAGTGGCTATGGGGGAAGGATGAGGTCAGAGAATCCTGTCTTACAGGTATGGATCAGAGGGGTGACTGACCTGACCTGTGTTGTGTCAGAATCAATCTGGCTGTTGTATTAACAGACTATCCAGAGGCAAGGGTAGAAGCTGAGAGGCCAATTCAAAGCTAGATGTTCTCTCCTGACTGTTCTCAGTAAAATGAGCAATGATATCATAAGGTAGTTTGGTTTGGAAGAGAGAACAAGTTAAGAAACGTCCTCTCGGAGAGTGGAAGAATACAGAGACAAGGGAAATGGATGACTGTTGGACACTTGAGGATCAAGGGCATATATTAAAAGTGAGATTGATTGGCAGCTTCCTCTAAGTGTTTGGTTGCAGAACAATCATAGTCAATATCTAACCATGATTGACTATGACATTTAAGTGGGGTAAAGAAGCAAGTAAAGGTATGAGGTGAGCAAAGGACAACGAAAAGGGAGTAGGAACCATGGGTTGTAAGTCCCAGCTAAAGTGTAGGAGATTATTACAGAGAATGAGCTGGCCTGACAGGAAATGGCGGTTATGGAGAGAGATGCTGGAACTTGAGATCATGGAGAAGCAGCAGTATGTGTAGGATAAGGTCTAGGAAAGGACCTTGATAGTGAACACGTGGTCACGTGGAGACCAGATCATGGAAGAGAGGAGGTAAAAGAACTGTAAGACCAAGGTGATGGAAGGACCATCCACGAAGATGTGGGAGTCACCAAAAGTGAGTCTGGAGTAACGTCAGAGAGAGTGTGGCAGGACCTAAACTCTTCAAAGAATTAAGGAGATAAACCCAAGAGTAAATATGACTTCCAAGAGTAAACGTAATGGATGTTTTTGTCTGCTGGAGTGAGATTCAAAAATTGGAGGTTTTAAGAAGGGAAAGGGGAGAAGGGTCTGGAAGCAGCAATGGGAAGCAAGGAGGACACTGTCTTGACCTCCTGGCCCAATGGTATGAGAAGAATTACAAGAATAATTTTATTCCCACCAAAAACTTTAGCCATTTTACCCTGCCCTCACTCGTTCCATTCCAGGCACACAGTCCCTTGTTCTCAACCATGGTAAGCATGGCTCCTCCTTAGGCCCTCACATTTGCCCTCCCTCGGCCTGAACTACTCTTTTACCAAATAGACACGAGGCTCACCCTGTACCTTCTTCATGGCTGAGTTTAAATGTAACCTCCTAGCTAGTGCTTTCTTTCTTTGGCCACTCTACACCAGCAAATTCCCCACTCCTGATCCCTCATCCTCTCTATATCGCTTCTCTGCTCAACTTTTTTTTTTTTTTTTTTTTTTTAAACATGGCATTTCTCATCTATAATATATTTTACTGACTTGTGCCCTCCAAAAAGCATCTAAGTCTTAAGAGGGTACCTGTGACTATTTTTTTCGTGGCTAAAACAGCTTTTGGCACATAGCAGTTGCTTGATAAATGCTTGTTGACTGAATGGATATATTATGGTTACACAAATAATGGGATTAGGAGTTATGCTTTCTAGAAGAGAGTATCTGCTACAATGAATGCATTTCTAGCTCTAGAAGGACATTCATTCTCTGGTGACTGCTTCACACATGCAAAACTCCATTTGATCTTTTACAAACAAAACAATTCCAAAATTTTTTCTTTCACTCCACGAACATCTGTTCGTAATTACCAGGTAAAACAATGGAAGAAAGTCAACCCTATTAAATCAATGTGTGCATCCATCCATCCGCTGCCCCTTTATCCTGGCCTACTCTATGCAGGGCCCTGTGTTAGATCTGGGGATCTGAAGAACAGTAAGTAGGCCCTGTCCTTGGGTGCTGTCAGGTTTCTGAGGTGGAAGGAGTGCTCCAGGCCCATAATGGAACAATTGAGCTGGTTTGAAGAACAACTCAGGGATGACCTGAGGCCTTATGGCACATTCCCTAAACAATGTGTGTCAAGTCTGCCTAACAAATATGACTGAGGAAACCCAAACAACTGATATTGCATATGACAGCTACTAGTGTTCTTCTTCAAGGTGAACTATAGCTATAGGAGATCCACCCAGATCCTCCCTGTTTTAAACGTGTACAACCCAAGTTCTTCACAGCTTCAATTACCAATCTATCTCCATGGGGAAGACAAATAGAAGTGGAGTTAACCCTGTCTCTTTGTGTCTCTTTGGAAACCTATGCTGCCACATAAAGCAAATCTTAGATGGGAGAACAACATGAATGAATCAAGTAAACACAGAACTTACTGTTCTCTTACTGAGACCCAACAGAGCTTATCAATTCCACCTTGTTTCAAAATGCTCATGAGTGCTTGTCTGGATGAATTTGCATAAATAGTTCCTAGGAAATTACATAAGTAGGGCCTTTCATTATACAGCATTGACCAACTTGCCTCCACCACAGGGAAATTCCTGTACCTATAAAAACAAGTACACGCGAGTTAACAATATATGACAACAGAATTGGCACAATTCCCATAATCCAACATCTTAGCATGATGATATAGAAAGAAGAGATTTAGAATGCCTTTCTGAACCCACATTGTTATTTTCCATGCTTACTTTTGAAAAGTCCTTAAATCTACTGACTTAAAAAAAGAGGATTCTCACAATGACACTTTTACAAAACTGCAATAGAGACTGTGGGTCAAAGGGCTTTGTTTTTTATATTCCTCAACTTTTTTTTCTTAAAGAATTTATATATATATATATATATATATATATATATATATATATATATATTATTGATTTTTTACAGAGAGGAAGGGAGAGAGATAGAGAGCTAGAAATGTCGATGAGAGAGGAACCCCGACCAACTGCCTCTTGCACACCCCCTACCGGGGATGTACCTGCAACTAATGTACATGCCCCTGACCGGAATCGAACCTGGGACCTTTCAGTCCACAGACCGACGCTCTACCACTGAGCCAAACCGGTTTCGGCAATATATTCTTCAACTTCTATTACACATGTAAGGCAGGTTGAATTCAAGACCTTATAATTATAAATAATCTTTCATATTCATAACGATCATGATTTAACGAGTGCTTTAGCCAGGTGATAGAATACATATTGCTAGAGCAAAGAGCTCCCATTTCAAAAGCTTTAGGTAGATTAAAAACAAACCAAAACAAACCAAAAAACAAACAAAAAAACTTGTGCGCCATACAGGAGAGACCTAATGCAACTGGCCCATTTTATGGGCATTTGGAAGTATTATAACAGAAATCAAACTGTGTGCCTGAAATACAACCTTCATGTAAGAGCAAAGCTTTATATAACAGTCTACAACAGGTTTCCCAACCTCAGCATTTCTGCTATTCGGGGCCAGACACTTATTTGTCGCGGAAGCTGTCTTCTACATTATAGGGTACATCCCTGGCTTCTCTCTGTTCACCAGATGTCAGTATCACCTCTCTTCCCTCTCTTGTAACAACCAAAAAGGTTTCCAGACATTGCCAAATGTCTCCTGGGATAGGGGGTAGCGAGTAAAACTACTTCTGGTTGAGAACCACTGATTTAAAACAGAACTACTGGCCTAGTTCAACATTATCAGAATTACAGAGATTCCATCCCATTCTGTATTAATAAGTTAGCTAGCACTACTGTGAAAAAGTATTATATTTTTTTGGCTTCAAAACATTTTATAAATATAGGCTCTACTCAAGGGATAGATTTTTCAGATCTATCCCTTGGCTATCCTATATAATAAAGAGGTAATATGCAAATTGACTATCACTCCAAAACACAAGATTGCTGCCCCCATGTGGTCAAAGATGGCCACCCCCATGTGGACACAAGATGGCCACCACAAGATGGCCAGCAGGGGAGGGCAGTTGTGGGCAATCAAGCCTGCAGGGGAGGGCATTTGGGGGGGGGGGCAGGCCTGCAGAGGAGGGCAGTTAGGGGCAACCAGGCTGGCAAGGGAGGGCGGTTAGGGGCTGGCAAGTGAGGGCAGTAAGGGGTCACCAGGCAAGCAGGGGAGGACAGTTAAGGGTGACCAGGCCGGCAGGGGAGCGGTTAGGTGTCAATCAGGCTGGCAGGGGAGTGGTTAGGGGTGATCAGGCTGGCAGGCAGAAGTGGTTAGGGGCAATCAGGAAGGCAGGCAGGCGAAGGATTGGGAGCCAGCAGTCCTGGATTGTGAGAGGGATGTCAGACTGCCCATTTAGTCTGACATCACTCGAGGGGTCCCAGATTGGAGAGGGTGCAGGCTGGGCTGAGGGACACATCCTATCTCCGTGCATGAATTTTGTACACCAGGCCTCTAGTACTTAATATAACCTTTTTGTCTGATCCTACCCCAAATCTACTGAATCAGAATACTGTAGTGGTAAGCTAGGGATTCTGCCTTATTAATGTGCTGCTCTGGTAATATTCGTATAGCCAACTAGGCAGCAGTCTAAGGCCACATCTTGTACAATAAATATTTGATTCATACATCATGTTAGTGAACTTTTTCATAATTCACCCATTCAGCAATGATTTACTAAGTGCCTACTTTGTGCAGGCACTATTTTAGGTTCTGCAGATAAAGTAATGAAAAAAAAAAAAAAAGAGAGAGAGAGAGACAAAATCCCTGCCATAGAGAAGTTTATGTACAGAAGCAATTCATCTTAAAGCAAACTTAACTTTTAATTAAAAACAAAACCCTCTATTAACATAAAGATAAAAAGTGTTTTCACGTGTTTTGTTTTGTTTTTAGTTGATTTCAGAGAGAGGAAGAGAGAGGGCGAGAGGGATAGAAACAATGATGAGAGAGAATAACTGATTGACTGCTTCCTGCACACCCCCTACTGGGGATCAACCCAACAACCTGCCCATGTGTCCTGACCAGGATCGAACTGTGGCCTTCTGGCTCATGGGTCGATGCTCAGGTTGGATAAGTTTTCCATGTTAAAGAGTTTATATATGACATTCTGAGAAACCTTAGTTATTAATTAATTCTTCTTTTTAATAGAAACGTGCAAATTCAACCAATCTCAGTGGCAGATCTGAGCATATTATAATGCTTCCAAGCCCAAGGGTACAGTGTGGTCCTGATTTAATATTGCCTTTAAAGAAAAGTAGTGCTGTGTTGTGGTTTTTTTAACTAGTAATTATAGAGATTCTACAATAATGGCTTTAAGAGGGTCTGCTTGTCTGCCACCCTCTGCTAACCTTTCTTTAAGGAACTGTTGAAAACTTAAAAATTCATCCCATGCCTTGTGATTTTGAAACGCAAAAATGTAATTCATCTGCCTCCCTCATAAAAGGTGAAAATACTCTAAAAACATCATAATTGTTGTTGAAGCAGGAGACCAAACTATATTTTTTCCCATTGAAAAATTGTACCTGGCCTCAATGATCTTAAAAGAACTACATTTATTGTAAATCTAAAACACAATCGCCTTGGTTCTGAAACTCAGGTCTTAAAGCCTAGAAACATGCCTAATATTTTGTACTTACGTTGCTACTCCTAAAGGCCACTGGAAAACATCCGTGTCATTAACCCAGGGGCTGTCATATATGATGAACAGCAGCTCCACAAACCCCCCATTTCTTTTGAGGAACTGGTCGATCCAGTCGTTGTTACAATGTTCATTTCCAAGCAAAACAACAGCAACATGGTGGAGTTTTTGAGTTTGTACTAAATTTTGTACATAAAGTAACCACTGGGTGGCAAAAAAGACCTTTGCTTTTTCTCTTCCATTTAAAATGAGTACCACATTATTCACATCAACGGAGAAGTACCCCGGAACTACAGCTGGACCAGTGATGAAGCTATAACAACAAAACAAGACACAAAGGAAAAAGAGAACAACCAGAAATTTTAAATCATTTTATATAAAATCTACAAGTTGAATGTTGCACTAACTGTGATAGGTACTGAGCTTGCTGCCTTCTTACAGTAGCAATATCTGGAAATTCTAAAAAAATAGGATCAGACATATTTTATTCTATCATGATCTTTGGAAATAAATTCAACTTTTTTTTTATAAGTGACAAATGCTTATTGAAAATATTAGAATTGAATATTGATAACGAGTTAACATCTGGCTTTTGTCTTATCAAATGAATAGAAATTTCTACATATATTATGATAATGTCTACACATGGAAATTACAGGATTTGGAAGGGAGTCTTTTGGGGATAAGCAAAGTCCATGATGAGCAGAAATAAGATTCCACCTTAAAAATTAAAACTAAAGTTGCCTGAAGATTTCAAACCATAAATCAACATGTGATAGATATGAGTAGAGACAGGCAAAGTTCCTTCAAGAGACAGAATAGATTCCAGGCTAGCTTGCAACCTACTTGAATATATTAATATAAAGAATATATTAATAAGGTATTTGTGGGGAGGTACATGATGGAGAAATAGTAGACAGTAATGGAAGCACAGAAAAAGAACTGAAAGGGAGGGAGATGTTGCAGTATCTATTTAAATATTTTTTAAAAACAAGACTTATATAGTGATTATTATGTGCCAGAGACCATACATCTTTTTTTTTTAATTATATATTTTTTATTGATTTCAGAGAGGATAGGAGGAGAGACAGAAACGACTAGAGAGAATCATTGATCAGCTGCCTCTTGCACGCCCCCTACTGAGGATTGAGCCCACAACCCAGGCATGTGCCCTTGATCTGAGTCAAACCTGGGACAGTCCACAGGCTGATGCTCTATCTACTGACCCAAACCAGCTGGGGCAACTATACATCTTTTAATGCATTTATAATGTTCAACACAATCTAGTGAAGTAGAAATTACTATTTGTCTTATTTTAAACTTAAAGAAATCCAGGCACAGAGAGAAGAAACCTCCTCAATGTCAGATAGCTAATAATAAGTAAACTGGAATTTGAGCTGAGATATTTTGGCTGCAAAGTCTATGTACTTACTACACCTCAACCACACGGCTCCACTGCCCAGAGGTGAGAGCTCCATGAGGCTGACTCAGAAGTTCAGGGTGCCCAAACGTATTTATGTATTCATATGTTGAGACAGACTATGTTACTGACTCATTGGTGAATAATGAGTCACTTATTTCCTTCTGAAACACAGTTTGGAAGTGACACCACTGTAATTAGTCTAGCTATTAGTAATGGGAAAGGAGCAAAGGGAAGGCCAAATATTATAGGGATGTCATTTTGGCAGCTTCGCCATGAGGCTACAACTTTACACTTCCCAGGGGTCCAGCAAAGGGAAGAATAGACACATGCCCAGTAATGCTCGGGGACTAGCAGAGATGCTTACACCTGGGAACAGAGGTCATTGGCCAGAGTGGGTGTGGCCACTGCAAGCAGGATAAGATCTGGGGTGCTTAATTCCCTGAAGGAAGTTCTCTCTCTTGGTTCCTTTGTGCTCTTGATTGATGCTTCCTCCACTCGCCCACATGGCCCATGGCTTTGTGGAGCCTCACATACAATGGACTAATGAACTGTATGTAGCCTGATGCTGAAGTGGACCCGGCTGCATCATGGAATGGAAACTGGCCACTGACTTTGCTTTTAGCTCTACTGAAACCCAGCTGCACATCTTCTATGATGGAACAAAGGAAAATGGGTCTTTGGAAACCCAGTAATGCAATTCCACGCAAATAAAAATCACTCATCTTCCTGTGCGAGTCTCAGAAAATTCTTTTTCTTGAGATATCATAAGGACTCCATCTCCAGCATCCAGTGGGGAAAGGGGGCACCCCAATTCCCCAATAACAGAAGTACTGCCCATTGTTAAATCCCATATCTTGATTTCATATTTAATTGGGTGTCAACTGTAGCTTGCCTATATGGAAGAATGTGGTCACATCAATACAAGCATGTGGACTGGCAGTTCTAGTCCATTCTGAGTTGCCTGGTATCCTGGACTACATTTTTGGGGCCTATGAACTGGTAAAAACCGGCATTCATGAGCCTGATCAACCCTGGAACACTAATGATATTCTTTGTACTTCTGCCTCGAAATTGTTGTGAGGCTAAAAGTAAATGACAAAACTCTTTGTAAATGAAAAGATTTATTTAAACAAACTACATTACAGATATTTACAAGTAACCTGATAGTAGTTATTGTAGAAACGCTTTCCATTTATTTCTTCAAGGTGACCCATTACTTCAGATGCACTTTTGGTCAAATAAGGATGAAAGTGTTGAAACATTTAATATATAACCCCTGCAGCTTAACTCAACTCAAAACTTGCAATTTCTTTTTTTTAATTATTATTATTTTTAATAAATTTTTATTGTTCATATTATTACAAATGTTCCTTTCCCCCCTTCTCACTCCACCCTCTGCCCTTTCCCCACCCCCCATTGTCCTCATCCATAGGTGCACAGTTTATGTTCAGTCTCTTCCCACATCCCCCTCTCCCCTTTTCCCCAAGAATAAACAGTTCACTCCTCTTCCATACCTCTGATTCTATTATATTCAACAGTTAATATTGTTCCTCAGATTTTTTTTTTAGTTTCCTTGGTTTTTAGATTCACTTGTTGATAGTTACGTATTTGTTGTTCATAATTTTTATCTTTATTTACTTTCTCTTCTGAAAGAACCCCCTTCAGCAATTCATATAATTCTGGTTTGGTGGTGATGAACTCCTTTAGCTTTTTTTTATTAGTGAAGCTCTTTATCTGACCTTCGAATCTGAGTGATAGCTTTGCTGGATAGATTATCTTTGGCTGTAGGTTCTTGCTATTCATCACCTTGAATATTTCTTGCCCTTCCCGTCTGGCCTGCATGGTTTCTGTTGAGAAATCAGCTGACAATCGTATAGGTGCTCCTTTATAGGTAACTACCTTCTTTGCTCTTGCTTCTTTTAATATTCTCTCTTTGTCTTTTGCTCTTGGAATCTTAATTATGATTTGTCTTGGTGTGGTCCTCTTTGGATTCCTTTTGTTTGGAGTTCTGTGCGCTTCCTGGACTTGTAAGTCTAATTCTTTCACCAGGTGGGGAAAGTTTTCTGTCACTATTTCTTTCAGTATGTTTTCAATATCTTGTTCTCTCTCATCTTCTGGGACCCCCATAATTCTGATGTTGGTTCGCTTGAAGTTGTCCCAGAGGTTTCTTACATTATCTTCAACTTTCTGGATTCTCTGGCCTTCTTGCGTCTGCGGAGGAGTGTCTTCTGGCTCTTTATGTTCCAAATCTTTGACTTGATTCTTGCGATCTTCCATTCTGTTTTTAGGACTCCATAAAATATTTTTTATTTCAGACAATGTATTCTTTATTTCTTGTTGATCCCTTATTTATTTCTAGTTGATCCCTTTTCATATCCTCATAGGTCTTGTTTATCTTATCGGCCTTTTCTAGGAGATTCTTGAACAATCTTATAAGTGTGGTTTTGAACTCTATATCCAGTTGCTTTTTGTCCTCCATTTCTTTCCTTTGTGATCTATTTGGTTTAGGCATTTTCGCAGGCAGCTTTCCTGATGGGGCGGGGTTTCAGGGTGGAGCCTATAGCCTTGGCTTCCGTCAGCCCCGCCCTATGCGACTCCTGAGACTCAGGGTCCTTCAGTACTTGTTGCCAGTGCCTCTGAGAGAAAGGTGCCCTCGATTTTCGCCTGCTGCCAAACTGTCTATGCTCTCCCCCAATGAGTCCAGTATTGGGGTTCAGTTCAGTTGGTAGTGGGATTGAAGGTGGCGTTCAGAGCAGTCTGGAGCCCCTGTCTCCTTCCCGTCAGGGCAATCCCGCGGCACAGCTGGCCGGCCCTTCTCTGCGCGCAGTGTGCGCGCCTCCGGGACCTCCTTTCGCCGCTTCCCCGGAGTCCCGCCTTACAGCCTGGCTCCCTATGGATGAGCCTGGGTCCCCGGGGTCTGGCCTAGAATTGGGGTTCAGAGCAGTTGGAGCTGGGCCCAGCACAGTCGGAGCTTTTCTCTCCTGCCCGCTTGGGACCGCCAGCCAGGCACTCGGCCTCCCTCCTCTCCGGCTCTGTCCTCTCCGCGTGCGCCGTGTGTCTCCGTACCTTGGGCTTTTACAGCTCCTCCGCGCTTCCTTCTGGTTTTCTCCTTGCTTCTTGTAGAATTTCCAGTCAGTCGACTTTCCAGTAGTTCTGGGTAATGTTCATTTTATATTTTAGTTGTATTTTGTTGAAATTGTTGTGTGCGGCTGCGGCTAGTTGCCTACCCGAGCAGCCATCTTGGATTCTCTAGAAACCAATATCAAAACTTGCAATTTCATAAAAGTTTATGAATTTAGCAAAATAAACCAGACCAAAAAACTTAAAATCCATATGATTTCATTCATATGTAGGATATAAACTGAAAGCTACAAATGAACAAACAAGAAAAACAAACAAAAACTCAGACACAGACAACATATGGTGGTAACAGAGGGAAGGGTATACGTAGTAAAGAATAAGGGGGGGTCAAATGTATGGTGACAGAAGATGATTTGACTCTGGATGGTGGGCACACTATGCAATATACAGATCGTGTATTATAGAAATGTGTTTTGAAAGCTACATAATTTTGTTAGCCAACATCACATCAATAAATTTAATAAAAAAGAAAAAAGTTTATTAATTCTGGATAAATTAGGCATACTACTTTTAGTGAGCTTAAAATTTGAATAACTTGTTTTTAAAAATCTGCCACAGTAGTGAACTTCTTTGAATACATGGTTTTCTTTCTTTCTTTTTTTCTTTTTTTTAATATGTTTTATTGATTTTTTACAGAAAAGGAGAGAGAGGGATAGAGAGTTAGAAACATCAATGAGAGAGAATCATCGATCAGCTGCCTCTTGCACACCCCCTACTGGGGATGGGCCCGCAACCAAGGTACATGCCTTTGACCGGAATTGAACCTGGGACCCTTCAGTCTGCAGGCCAACGTTCTATCCACTGAGCCAAACCGGTTTCGGCGGATACATGGTTTTCTTAAATCCTAAGAGAAAATAGCATTGCTATTTGATCATAATATAAAATGTCAGGTAAAAATTTCAGAAGGGTAGATTTTCTTTTGGGAATTAATGCTGTTTGCTCAAATCCTTTGCTATCATTATAGTAACAGTATATAATAACTTTTCTAAGAATTTTTTTTAAGACTTTTTCTGAAAATTCTACATATTATGGGTAGAACTATTACACTAATAATGATAACACATTTACTTTTTAAAATAACAAATATTTGATTTACATGCATAATACTAATTTACTTTCAAACACCCAAATTCAGCTATTGTAAATTTAGGACTATATATATATATATATATATAATAAACTCTTAAATGGGATTAGATCAATAAAAGCCAGAAGATGAAAAGAAAAACAATCATTACCAAGGATGATATGAAAAACCTGTTTACATCCATAGCTGGTTTGGCTCACTGGATAGAGTATTGGCCTTTGGACTGAAAGGTCCTAGGTTCAATTCCAGTCAAAGGTATGCGTCTGGGTTGCAGGCTGGATCCCCAGTAGGAGGCGTACAGGAGGCAGCCAAAAAATGATTCTCTCTCATCACTGATGTTTCTACCTCTCTCCCCCTCTCCCTTCCTCTCTGCAATCAATAGAAATATATTAAAAAACAAACAACAAAAATCTATTTACTTTTCAAGAATGATTACTTTGAAAAGATTCATGCAATTAAACTGCTTTCCAAGTGAATATAAAATAAAAAAGAATGCACTGAAAATTCAATTATAATAGAAATGAGATTTTTTCCTCTTGATTTCTCTAAGAAATGGAATCCTAATAGAAAACAGAATCTTTGGTTAAAAATTTTCTCTTAATAATATCATTTTTACAGGAAATAAGCATTTTAAAATAATTATTTTTTTATTGCAATAAAAGCAATTATCTAATAGAAAATAGCATTCTTTCATATGATAAAATTATCAAAATTTTTCTAAATTAAATCTTGTCTATTAAAAATCTTTACAAAACATGCAGTTAAAATTAAAAGTTTTATAAAAATAAAAGCTCTAAAATGTCTTAACAATACATTGATTTTATTTAAAGTAAAAAACAATTTTAGTATTTTCAGTGAAGTTCATAGGTCGAGGCTCAACCACTGAGCCACACTGGTTGGGTGAGATTTCTCTATTCTTAACAAGTTGAAATGGAAATATTTTCTATGATATAGTTTTGTCTTATTTTTCTTCTAGTATTTACATAAAACGTAATATGGCAAACAAGCAAAGGTTAATGTTGTAAAATTAATACCTGTAATGTGTTCTTCCTACAATTGAATTTCCTTCTCTCCATTGAGCGGTCACATCAGTAGGATCAAGTATGCCTTCAAAAATATGCTCCCAGAGATACAAACCTAGTAATTACATAAACAAAACCATTTACTGTCTGATCTACTCTAGTATGTGGAATACGAATAAGTTCTGCTCTTCTATTTTATTTGATTAGGAAAATAGATTTTTGGTAATAGGTCATAGCAGCTATAGGAAACTAGAGATTATGTAGTTATATATTACTAGAGGCCTGGTGCATGAAATTCATGCACTGGATTGGGTAGGGGGTATCCCTCAGTCCAGCCTGCACCCTCTCTAATCTGGGACCCCTCGGACACCCCTCTCACAATTTGGGACTACTGGCTCCCAACCGCTCACCTGCCTGCCTGCCTGATTGCCCCTAAATGCTTCTGCCTGCCAGTATAATCACCCCCTAATCACTTCCCTGACAGCCTGACTGATGCCTAACTGCTCCCCTACCAGCTCAATTGCCTCTAACTACCCTCCCCTGCCAGCCCAGTCTTCCCCAACTGCCCTCCCCTGCCAGCCCAGTCTTCCCCAACTGCCCTCCCCTGCTGACATGGTTGCCCCCAACTTCCCTCCCCTGCTGGCCTGGTCGCTCCCAACTGCCCTCCCCTGTAGGCCTGGTTCCCCCCCCCCCCCCCCCCCCCCCCCCGCCAACTGCCCTCCTCTGCTGGCCCAGTCACCCTTATTGCCCTCCCCTGCAAGCCTAGGCACCCCCAACTGCCCTCCCCTGCTGGCCTGGTTGCCCCCAATTGCCCTACCCTGCTGGCCTGATTGCCCACAACTGCCCTCCCCTGCCGGTCATCTTGTGGTGACTATCTTGTGACCACATGGAGGCAGCCATCTTGTGTGAGGGTGTGATGGTCAATTTGCATATTATATCTTTATTATATAGGATTAGTACCTGTAAATGGAGTATAATGTAACACATTTAAAATTCTGGAAGAAGCTTTGGAATTAGGTAATGGAAAGAAGCTAAAAGAATTTTGAGGAGTATGATTTTAAAAGACTAGATTAAATTGCCTTGAACAAATTGTAGGCAGAAATATGGATGTTACTGACTCTGCTAGCGAGAACTCAGAAAAAGTTGGGAGCACTGTAGGAAAAAACCTATCATCTTAAGGGATACCTAAATCATAAGCATACTGTTGGTAGAAATATGTACATTAAAAGTGCTGTTGGTGGGGTTCAGGAAATGAAATCAGGTTATTAAAATAGAGAAAAGTAGACAAGCATTTGTTATATAATCATACTCCCCATGACAACATTTCTGTCAATGATGGACTGCATATTGGATGGTGGTCCCATCTATATATACACTGAGTGGCCAGATTATTAAGATCTCTGAATGCATAATAATCTGGCCACTCAGTGTGTGTGTGTGTGTGTGTGTGTGTGTGTGTGTGTGTGTAGAGCATGAATTCGTGCATGGGTGGGGTCCGGCCAGCCTGGCCAGGGGGAGGGGACATGGGTGGTTGGCTGGCCTGCCTACTGGTCACGCTCCTGGTCAAGGGGACAATTTGCATATTAGCCTTTTATTATATAGGATATACACTGAATGGCCAGATTATTATATGTTCAGAGATCAGAATAATCTGGCCACTCAGTGTATATACTATGTGTACCGGTTAATAATGTAGATTTTGTAATCAAAGAAAACACGATAATTTCAAGAGAAACATCAGAAGTGTTTTATTCAAAGTAATGTCCATTGCTAACTACACATTTCCCCATCTTTCAGGTAATTTGTGGATATAGCTCCAATAGAACTTTCCTTGTTTTGAGGCAAACCATTCAGAGACCCAATTTTCCATTTCTTCATATGTTTTGAAGTGCTGCTCAGAAAGTGCGTGTGCCATCGATCAGAACAAGTGGTAATCTGGAGCAAGGTCTGGTGAATACAGTGGGTGGGTTAATATTTGCCAAGCAAGATCTTTTAACGTGTCTTTAACTGGTTTTAAAGTGTGTGATGGTGCGTCCACATGAAGCAAAATTACTTTGCTGTGTCTTCTGGAACTTTCTGGTCATTTCACGATCAAAGCATGGTTCAAATTGATTACTTGTTGTCGGTAGCGATCAGTATTTTTTTTTTTTTTTTTTGCGATCAGTATTAATGGTTTCTTTAGAAGCTCGTAATACACCACACCTTCCTGATCCCACCAAACGCAGAGCATTGTCTTCTTCCAAAGCAATTTGGTCTTGCAGTCGATGTTGATGGTTGACCTGGATCAACCCATGATTTTCTGCATTTGGGATTCTCAAAATAAATCCATTTTTCATCGCCAGTCACAATTCAATGCAAAAAAAAACACCTTTTTTTCGTACTGTTGAAGCAACATTTTACTGATGATTTTTCGGTTTTCTATTTGTCTTTTGTCAGTTGATGTGGCACCCATTTTCCTGCCTTTAAAATCTTTCCCATTGCCTGTAAACTATTGGAAATTTTGCTGAACAAAGTTTAATCTTTCTGCAAGTTGTTTTTGAGTTTGACACGCATCTTCATCCAATAATTTGTAACTGTTGGTCTTCAAACTTTTTGTTGACCTGGATGTTCTTTGTCTTTCACTTAGAAATCATCACTTTTTAAAAAAATATATATATTTTATTGATTTTTTACAGAGAGGAAGAGAGAGGGATAGAGAGTTAGAAACATCGATGAGAGAGAATCATCAACCAGCTGCCTCTTGCACACCCCCTACTGGGGATGTGCCCGCAACCAAGGTACATGCCCTTGACCGGAATCGAACCCAAGATCTTTCAGTCCGCAGGCCGACGCTCTATCCACTGAGCCAAACCGGACCTGGCAGAAATCATCACTTTTAAAGCATTTAAACCAGTATTCACAAGTATCTTGAGATGGAGCATGTTCACCATAAGCTTCTCAAAGTATTCAGCAGCACTTTTCTTCAAAATAAAGTAATGAATTATAACTTCCTGCAAATACTTTTTTGGCATGAAATTCTACATTTTTAAATGTAAAATCTCTATGATGTTAACACCTTCAGCAAATTTGACATTTGAAGTTTTGAAACTTGCTATCAATACAACATAACAGCATACATATCAAGTCGCATACATATTAACATATGTGTGACTCCATCTATTGAAAAAAAATCCACATTATTAACCAGTACACCTAGTAAAAGCCTAAGTGACAGAAAGACTGAACAACTGGTTGGACTGGTCACTATGACGCACACTGACCACCAGGGGGCAGATACTCAACAGAGGAACTTCCCCTTGATACTCTGTGCTCCCACAGCCAACTTCCTGGGGTTGGCCAATCTCCTGTGGCCCTTCTTCCTGACTGGCTGGCCCCAATTGGCGCAGATTGGGACTGGGCTAGACAGCCCTGATAGCCAGCCAGGCTGAGGGATCCCACTCATGCATGAATTCATGTACCAGGCCTCTTGTAAGATTATAATGGAGCTAAAAAATTCCTATGCCTGCCGAAACCGGTTTGGCTCAGTGGATAGAGTGTCAGCTTGCGGATTGAAAGGTCCCAGGTTCGATTCCGGTCAAGGGCATGTGCCGTGGTTGCGGGCACATCCCCAGAAGAGGGTGTGCAGGAGGCAGCTGATTGATGTTTCTCTCTCATCCATGTTTCTAACTATCTATCCCTCTCTCACCCTCTCTGTAAAAAATCAATAAATATATTTAAAAAAAAATTCCTATGCCTAGCAATGTCATCAAGTCATAGTACAATGCATTACTCGTGAATTTGTGGTGATGCTGGTGTAAACAAACTTACTGTGCTGCCAGTCATAGAAAAGTATAGCACATCTATTTACAGTAGTAGGATATACCATCTAGGTTTGGGTAAGTATACTCTATGATGTTTACACACGGATGAAATAACTTAATGGCATTTCTCAGAATGTATCTCTTTGTCAAGTGGCATATTATGTATAGCAAGCAGCAGGAAGCTTAGCTGAGTTGTGTCCTGCAGTTATGTGGAAAGCAGAACTTGTAAACAATAAATGTGGATATTTAGCTGAAGCAAATATCCAAGCAAATATCTAAGCAAAATGTTGATGCTGTGGCCCAGTTTCTTCTTACTGATTATAATAAAACATGAGAAAGAGAGATTGAGGGAAAAACTGTTAAGTAAAAATGAACCAGGACTGGATGATTTAGGAAATTCTCAGCTTACGCAGATTGCAAAAGAGGTGAAAATTTAGGAGATTCACTGTCAGGAAAGCATGCTCTTGAGAGAACGCCAAGGATATGACTTGATATCTTTAGGCTAGAGCCTCAGAATATAAAAGATCATTCTATTTAGTCATGTAGAGAGCTCTTTGAAGATATTGTACGCATACTTTATGAATCTCCTTCAGTAATCTTAGCAGAAGCCAGAAATGGAGATGGGCTGTCCAGGAAAGCTGTGGAGAAGCTCTTTTCTAACGCAGCAAGTCCTCATGACATACACAGGAGACCCACAAGGTTCTGGAAAATGTTATATCAGCAGAAACACTGGCAGCTTGGACTAAAAGAGACTCAGAGAAGTTGAAATGAAAGGAGGTGGCTGGACTTCCAAAATACTATCTTCAAGAAACAGACTGTAAAACTACTGATCTGAAAACACTTGCTAACCTTCATGAAAAAGGAAGAATGACTTCAAAGCCAGAGCTGAAGGGCCAGAAGCAAAACTTAAGCCACGGATTATTCCCAGGCCTTGAAACTAATGGAGTTTTCTTGGTTGAATTTCAATATTGTTTGGACCAGTGACTCAATATTACTACCATTTTCTCCCTTTTTAAATGGGAATATCTATAACTGATATGCTATTACCGTGCCTGGGGAATAGGTTAATGAAAGTAAAATTTGGTAAAACACATCTGCTACTTTGTGCTTATTAGATTCAAAATAACTAAAATAATGTCTACATGACCCATTCTTTGTCATGTAGACAAATCAACCTGTGCTCAACTAAAGACCAACAATAGAATGAGTGTATTTACACAGATATTGCCTAACAGGAGAAATAAAATATTGGGGGAAAAACCTGAAAAAATGCATCATACCTTGAACAAATGAAGAAATAAACTATAAATGCATTAAAATGAATTGAATTTAATATTAATAAGGTACATTTTCTGATGCTTTTTACATATCTTGGTTGTACACATTAACTTACCAATGGCAGCTTTGCCCCAGATTTGTACTTGGAAGTCTGTTTTCTCTTTCATGGATTTATTTAATATTTGGAGACTAGTTTTAAATCTGTGTTGTTGCTCATTTTTTTCATCTTCTTCCCAAGGATTCCATTCTTCACTTCCCAAAGTAGATGGTTCTGTGTTTTAAAAACAGTAGCAGTGTTTATATTAGTAAGGCAGAGCTGGATTTGTAGTTAAATTCAAGCCATTCAAATTAGATGTTAACGAGTTATAATTTCATCCTAACTTCAGCTTTTCAAGGAGGCGAACTCAATTTGAACTGGTTAAATATACACATTACAAAAAGGAATTAGAATCTAATTTCTATCAATCCTTTATGATGAAAGATCTTAGAGATAAAATTGAACCCCAACACACAAAATTATCACTCCCAAACAAAAACCTTCTAAAGTAAGTGGGCACTATGTATCAAGTTACAACTTATAACTTTTGCAACTCTTGATTGTCTATACGTAGCCTATCCATAAAAATTTGACTTCGAATAAAGTGTCCAACACTTTTGCATACTCTTGTGCAAAATTCCGAGAAAAAAAAAGAGGCGAGATGAATGTCTGTCCGACCCTGGTATAGGTCACCCTACAGGCCAGGGACCAGGATTTGGAGGGAAAGCGCCCTGGCCTTCGGGAAGGCTCCCGGTTTCAATGTGGAAATATTGAGTAGATGCATTGAGCCCAGCGGCATTCCCGGCAACACTGTGACCGCGTCTTGGACATTTAAGACAAGTTTCAAAGGTGAGCGGGTCTGTCGGCTTTGAGGGTGGCGATGGGGGGCAGCGTGTGGGATTCCGGCGGGAATGAGGTCTTGGTGCACCCCCCTCCCCCCCCACATCCCGCGCCCGGGGCCCGCAAAGCTGGAGCAAAAGCGCAGGCGGGGCCCCGGGCTAGACCCGGAGCGGGACCGGCCTCGCGGCGTGCTCCGCCCGGCCCCCTCCGCCCCGGGACCCCGCGTCCGGGCGCGCGCCCGGGACTGAGGCCGCAGGTCCGGGTCCTACCTCGGCCGCGCCCCTCCCGCGCCGGGGCCGCCCCCTTCCGGAGGCCCCGCGAAGACGCAGCCGGTGACCGTTGGCGGCGCCCGAAAAAGACGTGGTAGGCGGCGTACAGGGAGAAGAGGCAGTACAGGGCGATGAGAAACGAGCACAGCCGCTTCCGCGTCAGCCGCATCCCACTCAGGCTTCCTGCCAGGCCGCCGCCCGGACCGGACCGGGCCGGGCCGGGGAGATGCCGCCACTCAGGGCCGCGCGGCCCGAGGGGCACCCGGTGCAGGCCCAGGCCCAGGCCCAGTGCCGCCGGCACCTGCGGCCCGCGGCCCTGACGCCCCGGCCAGGCCCCGCCCAGGCCCCAGGCCCCCCCAGGCCCCGCCCACAGCCCATCCCTCCCTCCCGCCTGAGTCCAAGCCCGGCCCAAGCCCCGCCCTCATCCCCGCCCCCGCGTCTCCCAAGCCCCGCCCATAGCTTTCCGCCCCGCCCTCTTACAGGCCCCGCCCCTTCTGGGCCCTGAGACCTGCCAACTCTGATTCCTGATTGGGCTTTGGAAAATCGCCCATTCCTCCACGTGACTTCTGCGGTGCATCCACTGTGCCTTACAACCCTGCTCATCTTCCCCTGGGCATGAAGACAGCACCCACTGTGGTCCTTGAAGGCCGTGAGAAGGCACAGATCATGTCAATTTTGAACATGTAATCCCCAGAGTCTAGCATAGAGCCTGCAGCAGTGGCAGATGAATGAATATAAATGTTCATTAAAAAAATTAAATGGTGACAGAGGCAAACATTGTGAATGTGATTAATGTAAGGTGACCAGACGTCCCATTTTTGGTGGGACAGTCCCGATTTTTAACAATTTGTCCCGCATCCCACGGCGTTTTAAAAAAGTCCAGATTTTTGGAAAGAATGCACAACAAACGAGGGAACAGCAGGAGAATGGGAAGTGAATATACAGCTTTCGGCAGCCATGTGGTTATTTAGCCAGGATATGAGTTTTATATTATTTTTGTTAATTTTATAATGTTAAACTTTAATAATAACAAATAATTGTTGAGAACTGATTATCAAGAACTGCTTATCAAAGTTCGCATTGTTGATCAGTTGTTAGAATTGTGGAATATGCGCTGTCCTTACCAGGAACTAATGCTGCAACTGAATGCGTTTTTTTCTACAGTAAAGTGTGGACATCAGAAAAATCATAAGTGTTGAGACTTTGAAAGCCATTTTATGAGTGAAATATAATTTTACAAATTCTTGTAAAAAATTTCATGATCTTTTAAACAAAGAGAGCAATCTACTAAAAAAAAATTCACTCAAATGAGAAATATGCCAAAGAATAAAATAATACTATACATAATTTTTTATTTATTATATTTGTAAATTGTACTTATGTTGACATTTAAAAAATATATTACAATACTATTTTTGCATTCTATGAAAAAAATAAAAAAATATATTTTTATTGATTTTTTACAGAGAGGAAGGGAGAGAGAGAGAGAGCTAGAAACGTTGATGAGAGAGAAATATCAACCAGCTGCCTCTTGCACACCCCCTACTGGGGATATGCCCGCAACCAATGTACATGTCCTTGACCGGAATCGAACCTGGGACCTTTCATCCTGCAGACCGACACTCTACCACTGAGCCAAACCGGCTTTGGCTCTGAAAATGTTTGTGGCTTCATATAGACCAAATTTTTAATCAAGAACACTCCCCTCCCCGGTCAATGGTGTCCCACTTTACCAATGTTAAAATCTGATCACCTTAGATTAATGCCAGTGAGAAATGGTTAGAATGGGGAACTTTATGATGTCTATCTTACCATAAAGAAAGATATTTTTAAAAGTCTCCTTTTATTTCTATGATGTAACTTGAAAGCGCATAGGTGTGCAGTCTTTTGTCAAATAGAGCTGGTCAAATGGAATGTTGCCAATAAACTTTCTATGTCAGGCCTTGTGAAGTTGGGCTACAATTTTTTATTTTTATTTTTATTTATTTTTTGTCAATTGTGTCCAGTACTGTTCAACTTGAAGGCAAATCTTGGCAGACAGAGAGCGAGTGGGTCAGGTGTGGAATAGGCCATTAGAGCCTTCAGTTGCTGTGCCCTGACTGATTCAACTCTCTGCCCTGATGCAAAGTCCTTAATTTTTTTGATAAAGTTTCCATCCCCTTCATTAGAAAAAATTTACTTTTCCAAACTGACCTCATAGATAATTTGATAAGGAAAATGTTATGACTGGAAGGAAATTTAAGTTCAGAGGTGACTTGACCCCAGCTGTGTATTTTGTTAGTGACTGTGCTGCATCTGTTCTTAGTTCTATGTTCTTGACATTTTATAGTAGCTGGGCCCTTGTTCCTCATCTCATCCTGTGTTTTGTTGTTGTTTGTTTGCTTAACAATATCAGATACTAATAATCAGATATTACATATTTGGTGAAATTTTCTTCCCTGTCTACAAAAAAAAAAGAACTATCAATCATTAGGGTCTGTAATTGATAAACTCTGATGCCTTCAGTTTGTTGCCTAAAAACAGTACATATTTATTACAAGTTCACAAGTACAAATTTCTTGTGATACCTGGCCAAAATTCTTTTCTAAGTTTATCAGGATTTCAGTAATACTCAAGAAATATGTTAACCACTTTGAAAGATTTTCCTTAGCTTGGCCAGCAACCTTTGTTTGAAACTTTTTGCAGGATGTGCAGGAGACTCCTGATCAATGGTTTTCTGTAATCATTGATGTTTCCATCTCTCCCTCTCTCTGAAATCAATAAAAGTATATAAAAATATTTTGCTATATGAATTTTCTGTTGTAAAAATCATGTTTTATTGATTTCAGAGAGAGGGAGAGATAGAAATATCAACGAAGGGATGTGGGAGAGAGAGAGAGAAAGAGAGAAACATTGATTGGTTACTTCCTATATGCACCCAACTGGGGATTGAAACCACAACTTGGATATATGCCTTGACCTTGACTGGGAATTGAACAAGTGACCTTTTGGTACACAGGACAGCATCTCACCAATGAAGCCACATTGGTCAGGGCTATATGAATTTCCTTTAATTTGCTTTTGTGTTCTCTAGTGGTTTGGGAGAAATCTGCAACTATTTTAATTAATTTTATAATGTTTTTTGGAAATTTTTAAAAAATAGCACTTTGTTTGTTTATTTATTTATTTATTTAATATATTTTATTGATTTTGTACAGAGAGGAAGGGAGAGAGAGATACAGAGTTAGAAACATCGATGAGAGAGAGTCATCGATCAGCTGCCTCTTGCACACCCCCTACTGGGGATATGTCCTTGACCGGAATCAAACCTGGGACCCTTCAGTCCCCAAGCCGACGCTCTATCCATTGAGCCAAACCGGTTTCGGCAGCACTTTTTATTTTTATTGATCTCAGAGAGAAAAGGAGGGAGGGAAGGAGGGAGGGAGGGAGGGAGGGAGGGAGGGAGAGAGAGAGAGAGAGAGAGAGAGAGAGAGAGAGAGAGAGAGAGAGGGAAACAGAGAGAGATGGAAACATCAATGATGAGAAGGAATCATCATTGATCGGCTGCCTCCTGCAGGCCTCCTCCTTAGGATTGAGCTTGCTACCTGGTCATGGGCTAGAATTGAATCTAGAACCCTTCAGTCTGCAGGCTGATGTTCTATCCGCTGAGCCAAACCATCTAGGGCTGTAAGTTTGTTTTTTTTGTTTGTTTTTTTTTTTGTTTTTTAGTGAAAAGAACTCTTTTAGTCTATATTTCTCCAATTATTAAAATAAACAATAAAATATATGCTTTGGTATATTTTGATATTTTTTCCTAGTCTTGGTGAGGATGACTTGGGTTTAGACCCAGTTGCCATAAAATGACTGATTTGATGTTCTACATTCTGGTTTTCAGTACATGTGGTGGTAGAATGCACTACTGTTTACCAATATTTGCATCCCCTCCTTAGAGGAGAATTATACATTCTTGTCCTGCTGATTGATTTCAGGTGTGACCATATAAATTGCATTGGCTAATATAATGTTGAGCAGAAGTTTAGGACCAAGATGTTCTCTGCCATTCTCTCTTTTTCATTTGTCATGTGACTGGCATGTTCTGGCAGTTTTTCTGTTCCCTCAGTGTGGGTGTTGCTGGACTGAGGGTGGCACAGGGCCCACTGTTGATCATCTGTGGGCATATGCTGTGAGTGAGTAAAACTAAACTCAGGTTCTACAGGCCACTAAAGATTTTAGAATTACTCGTTACCTCAGCTTCCCGGTACTAATACAATGATGTTTGGAGAAGTGTCTGACAACAATGGGGAATGAGTTTGCTTTTAGAAAATTAATCCAATAAAATCTATCTACAATATGGCTCTTTGCCTATTTTTGTAGTCAAGCAAGAGATTCTTTGTAAATGTGACCTGGAATGTCCAAGAATTGTCCTGGGCAAAGCAATTGTGCTTCATAGGATAGAAAATAGTGGTCTCTCAAGAGATATAGATAGAGAGGCCATTGAGAGCTAAGGACTCAACAAGGAAGAATTTTGTCTTTATCCTAAAGGTAGCAGGAATCGGGTAGATTCTCTTAAGCACTCATTTAGACATTCAACAAATAAGAACTGGACAATGACTATGTGCTTATCACTATTTTTAGTGATGGTCCCAGCTATGAGCAAATAGTTTCTGCTCAAATGGACTTTCCTTGTGGCAATGTCCCTGACACCGTGGTAACACCAGCACAGCCAACTCAGTCGTCTCTGATAGGACTGTCCTTGCTTATGCCTTAAAAGTTACAAGGAGAGCCCTGGCTGGGTAGTTCAGTTGGTTGGAGCAACATCCTTATATGCCAAGGTTATGGGTTTCATCCTTGGTCAGGGCACATGCAGGAATCAATCAATTAATGCATAAATAAATGGAACAACAAATTGATATTTTTTTCTCTCTCTCTTTCACAAGCACTGTTTCCTATTCTTCCTTTTTCTCTCTCAAATAAAAAAATAAGTAGGTACTATGAGAAAATTTTGATAAACAGTTTGTGGTATAATTTATAGTTCCACAAGTATGTATGGAACTATGTGAAAGATGTATAAAACAGTCAGCCAAGAAAAACAATATCTGAAAACTACAGGCCAGTTTGCCAGTTTAAACTAAAAATACTATAGGCATGAAAGTTATCTTGTGATTAAAATAAATGTTGAGGATTTTGATGAAAGAAATGTATATAATCTTTATAATTGGGTTTGTACTCTTTCCTCTGAGATTGTAGCTTTTTAATTTAGAAAAAAAGAAAATTGTTAGTGAATAGAAATGGAGTTATTCAAAGAAAGCCCCCTGAAAATTTTTGAATAAAACAATGCTGTTAAGATGAGTTATTTTAAAAGGCAGA